CAAGATACTCATGGAAGATTGATTGCAAACCTATGAGGAAGCTCAACGGCGATTAATCCCATGATGGAAGTTGTCAAGAAGGAGATAATCAAGCTACTTGATGCAGATATGATTTATCCAATTTCCGACTCCAAATGGGTTAGTCCGGTGCAAGTGGTTCCCAAGAAAACGGGAATCACAGTTGTGGAGAATAACAAAGGTGTAATGGTACCCACTCGAGTTCAAAATGGATGGAGGGTGTGCATTGATTATAGAAAGTTGAATTCAAGCACGCGGAAAGATCACTTCCCTCTTCCTTTCATTGATCAAATGCTCGAGCGATTGGCGGGGAAATCGCATTATTGTTGCCTTGATGGATACTCGGGTTTTCACCAAATACCCGTTGCCCCCGAAGATCAAGACAAAATGACCTTTACATGCCCCTTTGGCACATTTGCTTACAAGCGGATGCCATTTGGATTATGCAATGCTCCCGCCACATTCCAAAGATGCATGGTGAGTATCTTCTCCGAATATGTTGAAAGTATAATCGAAGTGTTTATGGATGATTTCACCGTGTATGGCAATTCGTTTGATGAATTTGGGTAACCTTAAGAAGATTTTGAAAAGGTGCATAGAGAAAAAGTTGGTGTTAAACTTTGAGAAATGTCACTTCATGGTTAATCAAGGAATCATTTTGGGACACATCGTCTCCAAAAAGGGCATTGAAGTTGATAAAGCCAAAATTGATGTCATCCAAACCCTACCTTACCCAACATGTGTTAGAGAAGTGAGATCTTTCTTGGGTCATGCGGGATTCTATAGAAGATTCATCAAAGATTTCTCCAAGATTACGCGACCAATGTGCCTTCTTCTTCAAAAAGATATCGACTTTGACTTCAATGTTGCATGCCAAGAAGCCTTTGACAAACTTAAAGACTTGCTCACTTCCGCGCCAATAATCCAACCTCCAAATTGGGAGCTTCCATTTGAAATAATGTGTGACGCAAGCAATTTTGCTATTGGAGCGGTCTTAGGTCAAAAAGAGGGCAAAGCATCACATGTCATCTACTATGCTTCTAAAACATTGGATAATGCTCAAGCCAACTATTCCACCACTGAGAAGGAACTTTTAGCCATTGTATTCGCCTTGGAAAAATTCCGGCAATACCTTCTTGGGACAAAAGTAATTGTATATTCCGACCATGCCGCATTAAAGTATCTCATGACCAAGAAAGATGCCAAACCACGGTTGATTCGTTGGATTCTTCTTTTACAAAATTCGATCTTGAGATAAAGGATAAAAGTGGTGCCGAAAACCTAGTTGCAGATCACTTAAGTCGGTTGAATGTTGGCGATTCTTCTTCTCCTATCCTTGATGAATTCCCGGATGAGCACCTCTTCCATATCTCAAATTCCATTCCATGGTATGCGGATATTGTCAATTACTTGGTTACTAAAGAAATTCCTCACGCCTTTACCAAGCACCAAAAGGCCAAGTTGAAGAGTGATTCTAAATACTACGTATGGGACGACCCTTATCTTTGGAAACATTGTCCGGATCAACTAATACGGAGGTGTGTTCATCAAAATGAGGTCGAGTCAATTTTGAAATTTTGCCATGAATATGCATGCGGGGGACATTTTGGTCAAAACAAAACCATGCGAAAGGTGCTTGAATGCGGACTCTATTGGCCAACAATGTCAAGAGATACCTATCTATTTTGCAAGAGTTGTGATAGATGTCAAAGAACGGGTACCGTATCCATGAGGCATGAGATGATTCAAAGTCCTATCCTTATTTGTGAAATCTTTGATGTTTGGGGAATAGACTTCATGGGTCCCTTCCCCATTTCGTTTGGTTATACTTATATACTCTTGGCAGTTGATTACGTTTCAAAGTGGGTTGAAGCAAAGGCTACACGGCATGATGATTCAAAAACTGTTATTGACTTCTTGAAGTCAAACATTTTCGCAAGATATGGTGTACCGAGAGCCTTAGTGAGTGATAGGGGCACTCATTTTTGCAATAAAATGATGGAAGCAATGACAAAGAGATATGGTGTCACACACCGGATATCAACCGCTTATCATCCACAAACAAATGGCCAAGCCGAAGTGTCAAACAGAGAAGTCAAACAAATTCTTGAAAAAACTGTCAACACTACCCGAAAAGATTGGAGCTTAAAGTTAGAAGATGCTTTATGGGCGTATCGGACCGCCTACAAAACTCCAATTGGTATGTCTCCATTCCGCCTTGTCTATGGAAAATCTTGTCATTTACCGGTGGAATTGGAACACAAGGCATATGGGGCGGTTAAAAAGTGCAATTTCAATCTTGAAGAAAGTGGAAAGCACCGAAAAATGCAACTTCAAGAACTCGAGGAGTTGAGAAACGAGTCTTACGAAAACGCAAGCATCTACAAAGATAAGACGAAAGCGTTTCATGACAAGCACATCACTTGAAAACACTTTATTCCAGGTCAAAAAGTTCTTCTTTATCATTCACGCTTAAAACTGTTCCCGGGAAAGTTGCGATATCGATGGCACGGACCTTTTATTATCATAAAAGTGTTTGATCATGGTGCGGTTGAAATCAAGAGTTTGGAAACTAACCAAATCTTCAAAGTTAATGGGCACCGCTTGAAACCATATTATGAAGGCTTTGATACGGGAGAATTCGATAACATAACATTGGAAATACCAAATTACGAAAGTTGATGGAAGCGGGACTATGTCTTGGCAAAGACGTTAAATAAATGCAATGTAAATAAATAATGTCCGTTTGAAGTTTTGGGTGTTTCTACATTTGAAGTTAGCCATAAAAATAAGCATATAGAAGTCTTCCAGTGATTTTGGTGAAGCTTGAAAATTTCCAAAAATTTGACTTTTGCACGGGTGCCCGCGCAGTCTTTGCGCGACCAACCCCAGCCGCGCAGGTCCCGAGTTCCAAATTACACAAACAAGGGGTGCAAACTGATTGTTGCGCGCGGCCAATACCCACCCGCGCAGGACTTTTGTGCGGCCAAGACTAAATCATTTTATTTATTGCGCGGCCACCATATTTGCCCTAAATTGCAAAACTCACCCAGATACCCGCCCCATACCCACTATTTGAACCGGATTCGACCCATTTATCACCCAACCTTATAACTCCTTTAACTCGTCGGCCCCCTTTTCCCTCCGTGTGCCTCCCGTCAGCAACGAACATCGCCTCCCACCACTTTCTTCTCCGAACACACATCGCCGCCGCTGCTGTCTACGCCACCGGTCGGCGCTACCAGCCAAGCATCACCAAAAGCCACCGCGCACATCTTCCGCCTCCACCCAGTTTCTTCCGCCTCCCACCACTTCCTTCTCCAACCGCACGTCGGCATTACCCTCCGTCGGCATTCCCGTGCAGTTGTTTTTTGTCGCCGGAAAAGTGACGCTTCGTCGGCGCTCCACCACCACCACCTAATTCCGCCTAAACCCCACCCCTTTTAACTTCAAAACCGTCGTCGGCCGCCACCCTTCTCATCCTCGCCGGAAAACCGAAAACCGTAGATCCCGACACAACCTTCCATCCAATTCCAAAAATTCTTGGGGCAACCTATTCCAAACACTCCACCGCACACCGATCTATTCTTAATCTGGGAAAATCTTATCGCCGGAAACCAAGCTCCACCACCGGCCACCGTCTGCCGCCGCTGCCGGCCGCCACCACAAATTTTCCCCAAAAATTTCAAAATTTTTGTTTCTCACCAGAGATTCAAAACACTTAATTTGTGGGCTTAAACTTCAAGCTTGGGGTGCGGATTTTTGCGTATTTCTTTCGGACTTCAACACACAAAGTTGGTAATCCCTTTTAATTTATTGCATTCATTTTCTAATTTTACTAGACTTATGCTATGCATTAGGTTAAATAGAATTAGTCTTAGCTTGCCTTGAATTGATTGAATTGAATTGCATTGTGCCAAATTGCCAATTTGGAATATTACCCGGTTTTAATTATTTGATTTGATTGGATTGGTGTGAGGCGAGTGTGAGGGATAATCTTGTTCAAGTTTTTGTCTTTGCTAGATTCATTCACAGGTACAATGGCAAGGGATAAGACCATTCACGCATCTCATGGTTCTTCGCGTGAAGCTCAATCCTCGGGGCCATCCAATAAAATGTCCACCGACCATGTTGATCGTGATGGGAACCTTACCCTCACGAGTGCCCAAAGCCGAGAGTTCAAATCCAACCTTCAAAAGCGTGCAATCCACGCCACAAAATTTTACCACCAAGATTCTATGGATTAACTCGGCCTTGACCACCACTTGCGACAATTATTTTTCCACATTGGTTGGCACCAGTTTCTCGATCTTTCTGCACGAACCTACAAGCAGCCCACAATCGAATTCCTCTCCACCTATGCTCGCAATGACACAGCGAGGGTACTCACTTTCAAACTCCAGGGTCGGCAGCACCGACTCAAGTACAAAAAACTTAACAAGATCATGGGCACATATGACATCTACAACTCCGACATTTACAGCCACCAATGGACTCAATTCAAAAGCTTGCCCAACGTAGAATTTTGGACCCAAATCACGAGCTTGCCCAAGTTCAATCTCAGTCGCCAAAAAGACCCGTTTATCATGCATCCTTGCTGGAGAATTGCCCACCGGATCCTATCCACATCTATCTTTGCTCGTCACGAGCCGGGACAAATCAACACCGTTGAGTTGTATTTTCTCTATTGCATGTCGCGCCACCGTTGGTCTTTGCCCGATTTCGCCACCTTCTTTTTAGACAAATGTGACAGCCTCCGGATGAAGACCACTGGTGACATTTGTATTGGAGGTCTCATTACCCTCATTGGTTTGGGTATGGGCCTTCAATTTCCAGCATCTGAATATGTACCAGTGGATGATCCACCTCTTTACCTTCTCGATTGCATTACTCTCATGCGGATGGAATTAATTCTACCTCATCCTAATCTTCTTGGACATTTCTCTTGGCTAAACCATGTCAAGGACCCAGTTTACATCTTACCCAATGCAAGTCTCTCCATCTTCACCACCAATGACCCCGAAACATGGTTTTTGCCTCAAGACTTGCCAGACGATGATGATGCAGCCGCGCATGATGACATGCAAGTGGACCCTGACAATGCTGATAACCCATTCGAGGCCAAAGACCATTATGATCTTCCAATCCGCCAGCTACCTCCACCTCATCCAGCTCAAGCTTCCGGGTCACACTTTCAGCCCTCGCAAGAACACTCCCAGCCACAGTATGACTACCACTCACACCAGCAACCCAATGAGCCCGACCCTGCACACGAACTTCCTCTCGATATTTACAGCCAGCTTGCTTCCTTGCGCCTTCAAGGCAATAGAAACACCGCAACCATCCATCGCATAGAGGAACAACAAGCACGCACCCACACTTACATGGAGGACCTATGGTATCATTTTCGGCCCGAGGACGGTTATCCTCCTCATGGACCTCCTCCATCTTGATCCCGGTATGACCCTTCCTTACTCTCATCCTAAGCATTGAGGACAATGCTTAATTTTAAGCTTGGGGTGAGGTAATCTAATCTTTTATTTTTATTGCATTTAGGTTGTATATAGTTGCATTTAGAGTTAGTCATTTAGGGCATTCATAAAAATTGCATTAAAAAAAATTCAAAAATATTACATATTTTCTTTCTTTCTTTTCTAATTTTCATACTTTTTAGATACATTCTAGTTTAAGTTCATGCATTTTTGTTCTCTCTTGTCTTCTCATCCCTACATGTACCATAGCGCCGAGTCATAAGTATTGAATCATAGATTGGTCCTGGGTCTTGATATGGAATTCCTTGTATTTGATGAATGGGACACATTTTGAGCCTCACAGACCACTTTGAGACCACTTGTGTGGGGGTCAGATGCAGGTAGCTTGATTGGGTCTAGGTGCGGAGGGATGTGGTTGGTCATGCCAATGTGTGCGAGCAAAGACTAGCCCGGTAAGGTATTTTGAAGAAATTGAAGATATTGAAGACTCGCATCTTGGTTTTGGAGGGAGTACCCCTTAGTACTCCCGAGTCTCGTCCGAGCCTTGTTTAGTTAGATTCTCACCGCCTTTTTAGGATAGGTTATCATTTTTCTAGGGGTCTAGAGTAGATAGTTAGATAGATTTTGTTTATCACACCTTGCATTGAGGTGCTTGATGAACTTTGAAGTGGGTCCCCCAATTCACATCTTTTGGGACCAAGTCTTTTCGGTAACACCCATTTTTGAGTCATTCCCTACCCTTTTTAGTTGATCTTGGCACATTGTCAATGATCATTAGGTGTTCATATTAACCTCCATCTATCACTCAATTTTCACTATTGGAGTCATATGTTACTTGGTGAAAATCCTTAAACCTTCCAAGAAGCAACACAAAGAATGAAGAAATTTGAAAAAGTGAAGAAAATAAGAGCCTATTAAAGATGATTAAAAAAAAAAAAAAAATAAAAAAATAAAAAAAGAAAAAAAGAAAAGTAAAGAAAAAATAAAAAAGAATTAAAAAAAAAGTGAAAAAAAAAAAAACTGAATGTCAAGCAGCAAATGTGATTGAAGACCCAATAACAGAAGTTCAAGATTGAAGATTTAGGTTGTTAGGTTTAGATTTAGGTTAAGTATAGTTTTTATTATTTTATTTTATTTTTGATTTTTGGTGAGAAAAGGCCCCGACGATGAAACGGTAGACTGTAAAGGATAGTACAAGGGAGAAGCCTCTGAAACCAGATGTTTGCCCGGAGGTCGTGCTACAAAACCCTATTTCGTTATTATACACTTTGGCCTGAAAAATGTAGGAATCATAGTGTGTGAAGAGGCGCCTTTCCTTCGTGCACTATGGTCTACATTGGTGATTTAAAGTGCCCCCACTGGGCGCATCTCTGTTTCCTTTGTCTTGCACACCGCGACCGCATCCAGCCGTGATCTATTCTCCCATCAAGTGGTTGAGAATGTGGTTTATGGCACTAAAGCGGGGAACATTTTGAAGATGCGTAGGGTCCATGAAGGACTAATTCTGACCATGTTGACTGATGTTGACCAAGTTCTATGGTATCTTTCTTTTTCCTATTTAGATAGTTCATCCCGAGCTCATTTTTAGTCTTGTTCTAACTTGAGGACAAGTTAGGTTTAAGCTTGGGGTGATTTGATAGCTTATTTTATTTCCTTATTTTTATTAGTTTATTTTATATTTTTAGATCTTTTTATCATTAATGCATTGTATTTTATTTATTTTTCTTTAGTATGGATCGTACCGGGGTGCTTGTTATGTTGCATAAGATATTTTGTAGGTTTTTCGATGCTTGTTGCGGTTGCGGGTTGATTGGAGACGAGCTTAGTGGGCTCCCGAAGCATTATTGGGCTTGGCGGAATCAAAGAGGAAGAATTGGGCTTTGAAAGTTATTGACTTAGATTATTTGCGCTTGTGAAGATGGATCATAAAATTCAAATTTTGGGCTTGGAGCATCCATTTGGTGGCTAAATGATGATTGGTGCATTTCAAATTACATGGACAAGGAGGGGGGACCAAAGGAATCTTTGGTAGTGGAAGGGTGGAGTGGCTTGGTGGACCAATAGCATTACAGCAACATTTGCGCGGGTGGAATTTCCATCGCGCGGGTACCCGCGCAACTGCCCAGTTTGGGCATTTTGGTCATTTGGCTTGCCATAACCCTTGGGGATCAGATCTGGAGGCGCATTCACGATTTTCCACCATTGGAGACCTGCAAGAGGCGATTTTGGGAGCTAGAAATCATTTCCTTTCATCTTTCCAAATCTTAGGTAGTTTCTTTATGCAATTACATTATTGTTCTTGTTACTTTGTTGCCATGAGTGGCTAATACTCTTATTTGGTTGACTTTGGCTGAAACCCCAATGAATGTTTGTGGGTTTTGAAGGATTTATGTTGATTATCAATTTATTCCATGTTTATGATCCTAGTTTGCAATTCTTATGCTTATTTGATACTTTGATCATGAGCTTAGTATTTGATTGAGCAATAGTTGATTTATTTCATTGATTTTGCATTAAGATCATTGAATTTATCTAGAACAAGGGCTTTATGATGGTAGAAATCATCTCTAGCTTATGAATCATATCTCCTTTATGGATGTGTAAGCATTTGACATCCTCTAGGAATTGGGGATTCCTTCATTCTTAAGGCTAATTGATTTCTTGGGATTAATTGCTTCAATTGACCCTTGATCTTAATTAAGAAGGTGTGTTGTGGGCTTCCCCAACCTCCATACTACCTATGAGGAATCTTGGCATATCATGCTTCATGATTGCTATAACCAATTTGGGATGAAGGATAAGCTTTGTATTAGATCCTAATGATAAACACACAAATGTTCATTGTGTTGAATTGCCTTAGTTAACCAATTATTCCTAACCTTTGAGCATCTCATCAACTTTCTTAATTGCAAGGTTTTTAGTTATTTATGTATTTTAGTTATCAAGTAATCAAACACCCCCCTTTTATTTTAATTGTAGTTAGTTAGTTTAATTTCACTAGTTCTATTGAATTGCATTGGTGATTGAATACAACCATTTCCCCGAGGATCGATACCCCTTTTACCATTATATTACGTTTATATAGCAATCAAAGGGTGTAATTTGCTTGGTGGGCTTGACATCCAGATCAGAGGCTTAAATGTCTTCTACAGAACTTAATGGAGTTTCAGTTGTTTAACTGATTGGGTCATCATACTTGACCCATAAATCATTACATAATTAGGTTTTTAAATAACCTACAACTTATGTAGAATATGTTATTTCATTTAGTTAGATATCATTTGGAAACAATGTGGAAAATCTAGCAAGTCATATTAAACCATTAAAATATGAAGTTAAGATGAAACAAAGTATTGAAGTATTAGTATGAGCTTATCGTAGAATTTGAGTGATGAAAATATTTATCTATATAGGTCTACACTGAACACTCATAAATTTTTTGCTTGGTGTGAATAGTTATTTCAAGATAAGGTGAGTATACTGAGAGTACATATCTCTATAATTTATTCTTGTGATTTTTGGTGTGATTCCCTATCTATGACATAATATGCGTAGTCTGTGAATAGCATATGTAGTGTTTGCATTCATGAAAAGCATTTGGTGTGTTTGTTTCAAATGGATAAACTGTTGTGTTTCAGAGAAAATGTTTTACATCCATATTTGGTGCATTCTCTTAGGAAGGGTTTGGACAGTGACGCCATTTTGAAGGAGATACTTTGTGACCTTTAGTGTGTGAATACATTCTAGACAAGCCTCATTGTCACATGATGTTAGCTATCTCATGTGTCGACCATGTGTAATGGGCACATGTATCCTAGTTTGATGGGCCCATTAGTTATTTCCCATATTGTTGATTCCCTAGTAAGCGGTGTTAGACTTTAATATTGACATGTGTATAGGTTTAGAAGTATCTGTATTGTATTAGTATTCAGTGTAGAAATATTTTGGTGTATTGGTGATTTGATAAAATGCAATTGTTTAACTTGCTTCTTACATATATTTTGGTGTTTAGTGTAAATGTATTGTTGATATTTGATGTTTTGATGATATATAAATGTTAGAATGTTTTTTCCCATCTTATTGGAGTACGATGTTATTTG